TTGTGCAGTAAGGCACAGTAACAAGGCCATAAATCAGAAAAATTGGAAGAAAAAAAAAAACATTGAAATGTGTCTGGAATTAATATTTCTAGGCTCCTACATGTTAAAAATGCTGAAAAAATTGTGGCTCTGCATACTATACATATTTTACCAACTTCTTATTTCCTCTAAAGTGAGATGACAAAAATAATTTACAACTGTGAGAAGTTTTAAGGTAAATAAACATTTTTTAAATAAGAATATAAATCAGAATATTATCATGAATTATTTAAACCACACACAAAAAAGGGAAATCTGTAGAGAACCCAGTCTCTGAAAGTATTAACCAATTAGCAGCATGCCATATGTTTGTCCTTATCTGCAATGTGTGGACGCAGCCTGCAGCTCATCTGAAAAGTCCCTGAATTTTTGTAACATGACTGTTAGTTGCAGGTAAGTCACGAATGGCTTCATGGTTGCAACAGGAAGTGCAGAATTTTTGGTTTTTAACAGAATCTGGTTCGTGTAAATGGTTTATTTTTGGGGGAATTTTAAATGAAACATAGAGAATAAAGTCAGATTTAGTTACGTTTCCTGACAGAACTGCACATCACATATGACTACTTTGAAGACTGTATTGGAGTTTTAAAAAAATATAGTGATTTTTTTCTGTATTATTATCATTTATGCATTTGATAAATGGCGTAATTTTAGCCAATATTTAATCACAAGAAGGTTGTGGCGTCTAGATGAAACCCCCGTCTGTTAAGTTGAAGAAGAAACTCTGCCAGAATTGCAGTGATGTGTTCCAGAGCTCCAGATTAGAAGAGAGTAATACATTTCCAGTCTGCTTGCTAACAATGGCACCAAAGTGTGTCAAAAGAGATTGAGAGTCAATGCCTCATAAAACAGGAGGAGAGAGAAAGGGGGAGCACGAGAGTGGAGGCATTATGCGGTCTAATTGTCCTAAAGGGCATCAAAAGCCTGCTGCCCTTTTACACGGGGAGCACAGTCTGGCCTCATTCAGCCGTCACAATCAGCACAGAATTAGCAGCAGGAACTGTTTCAACCGTGTGCCAAAGAGGGAATCCTTCTGCGGGAAAAAAAAAAAAAAAAAATGGAAATGCACGTAACATTTTCATTGTCAATTTCCATTCAAGCCGGTGGAGGAATATGAATGTGACGGCGATGGAGGCAAATAAATTCTGTATTTTTTCATGTCACGAGCGCGAAAACAACCCTGAGGAGAGCTTTCAAGGCAGCGGAAGAAACATCATTGTAATTATGCCTTTAGTGAATATTCTACACATTCATTCCCTTTGTTTTGTGTATGGAAATGTTCTCATGAATCTTCTAGTGTGCTCCTGGATGAAGCTGTCACTTCCACTGCTCCTCTTTGTCTTTTTTATGGATGTACACGGAATCTAATTCATCACTATCCGAGTGTAATTATGGAAATTTCTGGAGATTTGTTGGGAGTTCTGTAACGGCAGTCTGCCATTCTACAAAAGATCCAGAAGTCTCGGAAGAGGGGAGAAGTGATTTTCATATTAATACTCAAACGTGTTCGTGCATATGAGCGGTTTTCATTGTTTTAACTGCTCGACTGAATAATGTCCTGTATGTTTTCAGTAATCATATAACATTTATCACGACTCTGTATGGAGTGCATTAATCAACAGCGACTCTGGAAGTTTGGTTTAATATCCACAATACGTCTTGTGCCGTCTCTTCGCAGTAAAAGTCACATCTTGTTTATTTTGTACCCTTTGTGTCAGCGTGGACTTTAAAACTGTACGTTGGCCCGATGACATCAATTTTCTTTGACATTTATTCCACAGATACGAGCCGTCATATAATTTCTTCCATCGCATGTACAGTATACCGCTGGTTCTCTTTACCGTCAGCGGAAATGTCAGAGTTTATATTTATATCAAACTAAAAAGCCACAATGTGATTCTAGCTCCCGGTAAAAGGATCAAAGGTTCGACACCGTGACCTCTGACCCTTAACCTCGACCGAACAGTTCATTTACATGCAGCGTTTCGATTGAATCATAAATGTACACATCCTGAATGGAGATGTTCCAGTGCTTTGAATAGCTGCTTCTTAGTTTGAAATCGCTTAAAGGACGCTTGTTTACTCTGTTGCCAGGAGTTCGACGAGATGATCAACATCCCTTCATATCTGACCGGTTAGCGTAGCTTAGCATAAAGACTGGAAACCCAGCACAAAACAAAGCCTGGCTCCATCCAATGGTTAAGAAGCTCACAAATTAACACGGTATGTTTAGGCCCTTCATATGAACATTTTCAGGTTTAGAATTTTACTTCAGGCATCTACTGCAGCATGTTTTCATGCTTTCATGTTCAAATAACACATTCATTTTCTCATTCTGTACATCGCTGCACCACCTTTGTCTGAAACACTTTGTCTTAGCTCCTGTCTCTTTAGATCCTCCTTCCTGAAAAGCCTCCGATTGGTCAGCTGGCCTGATGAAAATGAGGTTTGAGGCTAGTTGAAACTTAGTTGAAGATATCTTGAAAGGATGATTGAGTATCTTAAATTGAGGGGAATTAAAAATATGTTGAACTAGAATCAGAAAAAAACTGTAAAGATCTGGAATTAATATTAGTTAAAATTCAGATGCGGAGATCCACAATATGAACTATATCTGCAACGGAACTGTAAATATTTGTAAGGGAAAGACACCTTTACATGAATGGTAGAAGTGATGTTATTTGTCCTAGACGATGTGAATCTTGTTGACAGGGAAGAATTACAGATATCTGCAGTGCATATTTACTCTCGCTAATAAACAGATTGCTATAAACATTATGCAAATATGTTACACGGTGACATGAGTAAGTAACTGTGACTTCACACGAGACGTTTCAGGTAGTTGAGGAGATTCTGTCGGGGAGAATAACTTCCTCTGGCATAATCTGTTCAAATATCAAAGTCTAAAAATGACATTTAATTAAAAGATAGATTATATCATTTGCTAATAAGTGAACTTTCAAAGTGCTGGTTGGTAGATTTTGTTAAGATTTTATAGAGCCAGGCTACGTCCTCCACATGTTTCCAGTCTTTATGCTAAGCTAAGCAACGCTAACAGGCCGTGTGCTCCAGCTACATATTCAACAGGCATGACGGTGGTGTCAGTCATCTCATCAAAGTGGCATCAAGAGGACAAAATTTATTTATTTAACAAGATTATTATTTCAACATGACTGGATTCTTCTTCTCGACATTCAGCATAAAGACCACCAATATTTTTCACTTATCTGAAATGTGCATGACTAATAAATCGCTCTGCCAAAAGTTCATACTGTTAAATAGAAAACGACCACAGAGTCCGATTCTTCTCACACATCACCAGCATTTATCCGCTCACAGCGTGTCAAGTTGTGCACTCATATCAGAGCTGTGCTGCACCGTGAGAACGGCTAACTGGTAGCACGACGCGCAACACAATGAGCCGATCGATGCGCTAACATTCCCTCACAATGCCAACAACATTACAACAGCACAATAGTCTCTCTCTCTCTCTCTCTCTCTCCACATCTCTACTCCCTCGGCAGCCTTCAGGCCCGGCCCAAAAAAAGCATCTCTCACATAAATCAAGCGAAAACCCTGAGAGCTCGGCAGGCCCCAAGAGCATGCTGATCACCCCGACACTCATTCCCCCGCCGCCACTCTCCTGGGCTGCCTCGGCCCTCAGGAGCCGGCACCCCCGGAGCTCAGACCCTGCCAGTCAGCCACGACTCGCCGAGAGGGTCCTGATCGGTGGGGGGAACGGGATGTCACAGAGGCCTGTCACTTTGATTCAGTGCCGGCAGACCGATGTGTCAGATGCGAGCAGATGCAATTTGTGAAATAAACAAATCAATATCTCTCAAGAGGTAAAGCTTTGTATAGATATGCCCAGAGAAACTGCTCCACATACATGTGACAAAAGCATCACACAGTATACGACCTCCATACCATTTGTACTACAATGCGATGCTGTTATTGCAACAAACGTGCCCACTCACTTGTACGTCTATGTGTTTTTGTAGTGCAGTATTGTACACAGATGGTACAACTGACAAGGCTACATAACATTCACGATTTACATAAGACTTCACTATTACTCACAGAAGCTTACAACCAAAATGTAATTTTTTTTATTCACGGCTGCCTTCAGAAGGAATCAGACCTGCATGTCTCATCATTCATCATGACAGCCTACCTACTAACCCAAAACGCTGCCATATACTGATTATTAAATGAACCCGAGCCAGACCTTTGGCTTTTGTTGTAATTCTCTCTTTTAATATCTCTTCTATCCTTTCCCTCCTGCTTTGTGCCAGTCGAAGCAGGCAGCACACAGAAACAATAAAAAAGCAAAAGAGCAAAAATCCAGAGTTTGACAAAACAAAAGCAGCGGGGATTAGAGAGGCAAGGGGAGGGTTACTTAAGGACTTCCTGTTTCCACAGTTGTGTGACGAATCCCAAAGTCGAATCCCCGTTGCATGCGACACACACAGGATTGCTACCAAAGCGCTCTGATGAGAGCAAAATCTCCTGACAGGAAAACAAGGGGATATAGAGTGCACGCTCAGATGAGACGGCACGCTGTCTAACCATGTAAAGAAAAAAGCATTTAAAGTTCACAGAGCGATGAGTGCAAACAGCGCATGAATAGGTTACCGAAGTATGTTCTAAATTAAATGATGTCAAGAGGAAAAGACGACAACATCTTTGTATCAAAAGCAAACGCTGAATGAGATGAGTTTCTGGCAGACTGCTGAATAGCTTTGAAGCTCGCTATCATATATACAGTCGCTATTGTTTCCTGACAGGCTTACCGCCATCAAACTGCCATTCAAAAACACAAATCAATGGATGCAAGTCCAAGAAAACAACTTATTCGTGACTCCAAAGCACAATATCAACAAGCAACAACACATTCATGAAAAGTTTCACAAATGTAAGGGGAAAAAAGGAGAGAGAAAAAAAAAGAGTTGCTGCCTTACCAGGTCTCGTCGTTTTTGAACTCAAGCTCTCCGTAGGTGTCTTCGAAGTCCTCCCCGCCTCCTTTAGCGAGTCCCTCCACCGTGCGAAAAGGCACAATGACCGTCCCCCTTGCTCCAGAAGTCCTCAGCACTTTCATTTCCATAATGCCGATGCTCTCGCTGACGTGCACCGAGTTGCTCTCGAAGGTGAAGATGCCCGAATGATCATCGTCCAGGATGGTCACAGTGGCCACGCTGGGGAATCCCAGCATGGCCTTTGGGTATGGGAGACTGTTGGGTGACAGCACTTCGTCCTCAGTTTCAAGGACACGCAGATTACTGAGGCGCACGAAGAAGTGCTCGTCCTCTTCAAAGATGTCGTCATCTATGATGCCAATGCTTATTTCCTTGATCATCTCTCCCGGTTTGAACACCACCGTACCCTCTGTGAACTCGTAGTCGGCCCCAGCATTGGCCGAACCGTCCTCCGTCTTATAATCCACGTAGATCGTCTTGTTTATGTCGCCGCCCTTTCTGGTGATGGTCAAAATAGCGGCTCCACAGTTCTCGAGGCACTGGTAGACAGCAGGCTCAAAAGCAATCCGAGACACATACTCTTCCGGTTCCTCCACATGCACCTCCTGGACGCTGGCGCTCTTCTTCGCCTGTTCTGCAACGTGTTTCTTCAGGATGTTTCCGGCGCCTGTCATCATGCGAGTAGCTTGGATGCGGTAGAAGGCACGGCTCTTTTGCTGGTGCGAGAGGGCGTAGTAGTTGGCCATCTCAACCAGCTGATCCAACTCCTTCTCTGGGTGCTTCTGCTTCAGGTCCTTCAAGATGCGAATCATGTCGCGTCGGGACTCGTCCACCTCTTTGCTCTCCATCAGACCGATCAGATTGCTGGCCGCGCCTCCGTCCATGAAGTGGGAGTTGACCATCTTTCCGTCCATCTCGATCCCCTTGGACCGTTCTGTCTCGGTCTCGATGATGACGCCCCTGTGTTTGTCAGTGCGATACTTCTTGTGCATGAACTTGTAGAAGAGCAGTCGTCTGTCTGCCACCCAGGCGAGGAGGACGCATATGGGGAAGAAGGCCAGCGTGACTAGACCCTCCCAGACCTGGACTACATTTGGAGAAAACACAGCCAGGATCATGTAGAGCCAGATGTAAGCAAAGATACTCCAGCCTGCAGTGACGAAGAACACTCTGAGGTGCTTGACTTTGCGTACCTCTCCTTGGGGAATCACGGACACGCAAAGGCCAATGATGACAAACATGTTGAAGGCTGCGCTGCCTACGATTGTGGAGGGCCCGAGCTCGCCAGATTTGAACTCATGTCCACAAACCTCAATCACAGAAAGCAGGATCTCGGGGGCAGACGAGCCCAAGGCCATGAGGGTGAGGTTGGAGACCGTTTCATTCCACACCCGGATCGTGGTGGTGGTTGTTTCCCCATTGGGCCTTTTGATGACAATCTCCCTCTCCTGGGAGGTGATGACCTCAATGGCTGCCATGAAGCGGTCAGCGATGATGGACACTCCGAGAAACATGTAGATCAGTGCCACGAAATAGACAATGACCCGTGCGATCTTGTCTCCCATGGAGGGATCCTCGGGATACCAGATGGGCAGGATGATCCCTGTGTGACACTTTGAGTTCCCCTTGCAGGTGGCATTGCTGGGGGTGAGCAGAGGGCTTGGAGTGGTCCGGGCCTCTGTACAAAGGAAGGCTACAGCAACAGAGACCAGCCCCAACCAGAGGCAGGCGGGTGACCCTGGTTTTACAGGCCTTGAACCCTCCATGCACCCTCCTTCGTCTCAAGGGTCCTTACCACACTGACAGTCCCTCTGGGATCCAGCACTGGGCTGTTTTTTTCTCCACCCACCACCTAAACATAGAGACAGAAGCAACAGATATTACATGAATGCTATTTAACACTTTTACTCCAAGAATCTTAGAGTTTTGCCTCATATTATAAACGACAGCCAAACAGGGACAACTGTCGTAAAACAACCGGACCTTGTTGCATTGTGAATGTTTCTATGACTGAATAAATATTTATCATGCGTGAGTACAATGCATTCATTCTTAGTTACATAATGAATCAATAATTAATGTAATGACATAATGGAAGGAGTATTCAGCCTTAGGGTAGTTTCACATTGTTTTAAATCCCAAGTTTGTGGAGCACTAGTAGTACGAGTGAGTAAGTCTGTGTGTTTGCATTTCACAGGGAGAAACATACACTTACTGAAGGAAGAAAGGAGTTTCTCAATTTTATATGAGAGCAAGAATTCAAATTATCCCACTATCCTTCTGTAAGACCTCAATGGGTTTCTGCTTCCTGCTTTACAAACCGCATTTTCATGAGACCTTTATGTTATCTATGAAAGGCGGGCTGGAAAAATACTTCCCCACGCTCAGAAATTCATGAGATTTTCAGGTCTGTAAACCACTCTGTGAGCAACGTAGATAACATTAGTTTAATAAAATGATAGCCTGTGGGCTCATTTCCAATCATAAAGTTTATTTTCAGTTAAGACGTGGATACGTGCACCCAATAATGTGGATTTGAGCGTGATTGTGTGAAATCTCGGGGGTAATACACAGCTCTGAACCAAACAGCTCGCTCAGCAGGCGTGCAATGTTGCCAAACTAAGCACTGTCCAAAATGTCGCATTGGCAAAAAAAAAAAAAAACAGCAGAGGGGAGGCAGGAGACCGTCAAGAGGCGAACTGAAACAAAGACTACAGATGTCCCGTCCAAATTCATTATAGACCGAGCCCTAAATGCACACTTCCGCCAGAGAGAGCAGCATTATAATAACAATGCAGACATTGTCCAAATTCATAAAAGCTCGAGCTAAGCATCTTATGCACCTCTTCAGCTCTTAGGAGATACGACTTGACAATTCTTTTTGATGCTAACAGCTGAGGCCAGAGGCAGCAGCAGCGTGATGAACAGTTGACCACCTCAAACGTGGATGATATAACACGGGATTCGTTATAGAGGCTTTCTCCTCAGCGGTACTTGATTATTTAGTGGTTCAGTAGGTTGGTTGGGAGCCTCTCTGCAGCCTCCACCTTTGGACCCTTGAGGCTCACAGGCAGTTTAGTCTGAATTAAAATTATCTCTTCAGAGAGATACAGTACAAGTTAATCACTCTGTCCTGAATTCAGTTGAGGATTACCATTTTTTCATTACACTTGTTTCCGTTTGCTTTTGTTGAGCTAAATCAAGTTTGCATCCCGTCTTCGTTTTGTACCTAAAAGTGCATTCTAGTGTTCTGATTCCTGCTTAAAGAGTTGATTACCTCTGGGACTGCCTGCACAAAACTGTGTACAGTATGCACTCGTGGCACTTTGAGGCACTCTGGATAAAAGCATCCATTAAAAGGCATATGTTATGCTGTAGAATGCAGATTTCTTATTTGATGTAACTCTTACCCGCCATACTGGATCTGAAGGCTTTTAAAATAACTCCTACTACTAGAATTACATCTATCATGCTCGGTGGATCGCCGGCCAGTTTGGATAGCTGACAACATTTCCAATATAAGTCTGGATAGTAAAACGAGAGGTGGCTTGTTTGACAAACTCACGCCAATTTCAAAGCCAAATATTGTCTCTGCGACCTGAGCAGTGTCAACACACACCTAATGCCTGCAATAAACTGGCAAAGTTTCCATCAACGTCTTGTGTGCAGGCAGTAGCAAAGCCAATTAATCTATTCTGGAATAAATTATCCTTAATATTTCTAATTTAATGGTTCATAGGTACAAATAATTGCATCACTAGCAGTGCTATTATGATGTCTTTTGAGAGATCATAACCTCAATAACATTCACAGAGATAACTTTTTCCAGAAGTGCTTTTCTGAGAGGTGATAAAATTTTAAAACAGAGGGTATCTCGGCTTGAAATGAAATTCCTCAGATGTTAAAAAAAAAAAAAAAAAAAGATGTTGATTGCAGAGCAGCGCACCGATCTGGAGGATAGAAAATGGGATGACAGCAAACGGCAGCAGAAGCCGGAGACAAGGAACTTAAATTTAACTGAATCAGCAGAGCCATTTATGTGGACCGGAGCCAGCTATGCAATCCCTGCGAGGGCCGGCAGCGCTGAGCACAAACAAAAACAACGGGGAAATAATTGAGTGACAAAGTTGTAACTTAATGAGGGGGAAGTTGCATTTTTCTCGTTTGGAAAATGTATCTCACCTACAAGAGCACGCTTTGAGGAATGAGAGAAATACGTGTGCATCGCTCACATGAAGCTCTGTACCTTTTACTTCAAAACGGTAAAACTGAGCACAGGTATGAATAAGTTATCGAGAGACTAAGTGAAGCGCCGCTTTCTGTTTAAGAATCAGAGCAGCACTGCTGACCCGCTAGGTTCTCCTTGTCTTTTTTTATTGCACGGTGGCTAGCAGGGGTGGATGGGCAGAAACTGCAATGAGGCATCCAGGATTTAAAGGCCAGGGACAGCCTCTCAATATGTTACAACCTGGGGATGGGAATGATTAAATCACAGGTCATTTAATTGTTGGGTGATATACTAGAGGAGCTGCAACCTAAATCTGGAGTGTCAGATCAAAATAAACCCATAAATTGCAGACTTACTAAAATTATATCTGTCCACCTGATAATTATAACAACTCCTGAGGGAAATATGTGTCTTTTTAGCCGCTAAATGCTGTGTTATATATTATAACTTTATCTCCAGCGTGGTGCTGAGTGGGTGGAGTGCAGTCGAGCTTTTTCTCTCGAATCAGTTGCTGGCTGCGGCCAAAAATTACACCATGAGAGCAGCGAGAATTCGAGCTATATTGGCCGCTATTGGCCTTTCACAGATCTATTAGTATCGGAGTATTTGTTGTTAGATATGAGCTGATATGAAAACGTCTTGCTTTGTTCTGTTGTTTAATTCAGAAAAAGATGCTTTTACACATGGTGCAGCTTGTCGAGCAGAGCGGCTCTGATTCTAATCGATTCTGGCTCTAAGTCGCCAAAATCAGCTACGTTGGTGCTGAAAATGCGTCAGAATGAACATTTTAACCAAGTGCGCTTTTTATTTTTACTCTAAATCATTATAACGAATGCTTTTCTTCAGTATGTCTTTGTAATTGTTGCATCGTGTCGTTTTTAGCTGGTCAGTCCATTCAGTATAGAAGATTCCAAAAACCTAAGGCATAAAACTATGGGAGTACTTCAAACCATCACGGAACAAAAAGATGCTTTGTACACTGTTCATAGTTTCAGTGTCAGACTACAGCAGCAACGCAAAATGCATGAACACCTGAAGACGAGGCAAACAGGTGCTACTCATCACTTCTCTCCTGCTCGCTGTGCTCACCTTAACTGCATTTTTACTGCACTGAAAATCCCAAACCACTTACATACTCATCTGTGTTTGCTGTCAGACAATAAAACTACATGTACACGACCAAATCCTGATTTTATAACCTCAACGTGATCTGACAAACTCACCGAACATGAGCTAAAAACAGCTGCTGTGAATTTAGCTGGATAAAATTTAGAGCTGCTACCAAAGTCACAGAATTACCAAATGAGTTGCTTTAGCTGCTCAATGCTTGCAAAATTTTCATCATGTCCATGTTGCTCAGAACTTTTTCACTCTGTTCAGGGGTTTAATAGAAACTTGGATTTCTTTTGGAGTTGCACTGCTGACTTAAATCATGTTAGAGTCGCCAGTTGAAGCACTTTAATATGTAAACCACTGTTTCATTTTGCACTGTGCTGTATTTTGCAATGACATAAAATTAAATTGACTAATCTGTAAAAATTTATTGATAGAAGAAGAGCTGTTAGTCCACGATATGATATTGATGCCGATTATTGGTGCTCAAGAAAGGCCGATAACCAATATTTGGACCTGATGTACATTAAATGTTTTAACAGCAAGTCATAGCAGAGAACCTGTAATTCATAATTAGGTTGCTTCATTAATAAGAGTAACCATGACTTTATTGTTCACTGAGGTCTATATCCTAAAGCATTATTAATTATTGTTTTCCAGACTGTTTATGGTTAATCTGTGGCTGCCTTCTAATGTAGCCACTAGCCGTTAGCGTAGCCTTAGTCGCTGTGAAAGAAGCTAATTTCCTAATCTGCCAATAAAAATAGCAATGATTGGAAAAATGCAGAATATTGGCTACGATAATCGGCCAATCCCCTGTCGTTAGTGGCAGCTCTGCACTCCATGGTTTACAACAGTCTCCACGCTGTCTGCAGCACATGCAGCAGAGCACATCTAAGTAAATGTATGCAAATGACATCAGCTGATATAGCGGCATGGTGTAAAAAAAAATCAGTATTGGCCCCAGAAATCCAATTGGGTTCAACTGAGAATGAATCAAAACAGCAAACTCAGACTCTGAGGGGAAATGCAGAGTCGGTTATGATTTCAAGTTGGTTCTTTGCTACAGATTTCTTCGTCTATTGTTAATATAAAGATACTGATTTTAGCTGCTTTGAATGAGGTGTAATTCCTGTTTCTCCATCACGTCCTGCAGCTTTAATGCAGACAGTTGAGAGACTGTTAAAAAAGGAAAGTGTTGGAAAACAGTAAAATGTGTTCACAGGCTGCCCTGGATAAACAGAGCTAAAACAAAATGGCAAACAAGGCAAATACCCATGAATCCAAGAGCAAACTAGCAGGCTGACAGAGAGCTTTTAAAGATATAAGGCCATACAATAACACCGGACAGAGAGAGTCGATTGCCTGGTAACTACCTCCTGCCTTGTCCCATTAGACTTATAAATTTCACACGCTGAATAAAATCATGGCCGGAAAGATGATTTTGCAACTGTAAACTATAGTTGTGCTCATTTCCAGGTCTCCCAAAAGGCGCATTAGATAATAAACACGACTACTTTCACTACTCTGAGCAGCAGATTTCACCATTTTACAGCCACATTTAGTCCTCACGCACATAATTGTTTCCAGTTTCACCTGCAGCCAAACTACCAGAGGATTGATTGATTGACTGATTGACTGAGAAATCATTTAAGAGACACAAATACATACCGCTGGGCAATAATGCAAAGTTCATTACAGTAATTACATTAACGCCCTCAGACAGGCCTTTTCAGGTGTGTGACCTCACGAGGTTTTCGTATTTGAAATATTGATTTTCTATCTCCACACAAATTGCATTGGGCTTCTGTTGGAGCGAAGCGTCCCGTTTCTCTACGTGCATCGCCGTTACCGACCATGACCCCTAAATTAGGAGCGACACGAAACAATTTGCATACTAATTAGCGTTTTAAGGACTGTATTTTGCATTGTGAACGCGGCGACGTTTAATCAAGACTGTTCAGCAGCTGCAAAAAAATGCTAAGAATGAACAGAAAGGCTGCTCGCAGAGAGTCGACATTAGCTTAAGAGCCATATTGCAAGTGACATTTCTAAATTAAGGGTGAGGGTCAGCTTTGGCATATTCCAATTAAATCCAACACTGACCTCTTCAGCCACAAATAGTTGAGGGTGAAAACACTTAACTCAACTTTTAAACCACTTTTGGACCACTTTCTCCTTCAGAAAATACAGCACAAGTGATATTTACTAAGTCAAATATCACTATTAATTCCTATATATGCGCAATGTGGTGACATGTGCAATGAATTATGGGAAACTTGGGGTGGCAATCAGAAGTTTGTATTCATATTTACTCACTTTTAAAGTGTACAAGTTGAGAAATCTGCGAGGAAAATGTCATGGTTTTAGATATGTGACAATATTTTAGTGACAGAAATGACAGCATCATGTCAGTATAGTGATATTAGTCTACATTAAATACACCAACTCAAGTGATGGGCTGTTTTTCAGATGATTTTCAAAGCTGTAAAACATACAAATTCTACAAAAGTTTCAGGAGGAAAAGCCTGAAACTGAAATTAGACCATGAAAATGTGTTAATACTCCCCCTGTAAGCCCAAACTGATCTCTTTCCTTTAGGGTTAGCAGCTCCTGAGACTCTTTCACTCTAATTAGAGGGGATTTCTAGTAAATATGACCTTTAGCGAAATGAAATTTGTCCAATAAAACGCTGCCGTGTGAATAAGCAACGGAGGAATTAATGTAATTTGTTGAAAAATAAACATTAACCAGAAGCTTTGTAGACTTTTGTGATCGGGAAGGAACCTCGAGGAAACATGCTGAGCAACATAAAGGCCGATGTTGCACAAAAAATATCACTGGAGAACAGATTTTTCTTGTTTCATTTTGCTGGTTTTGATTCGTTTCTGTCATTTGCTTGTATCAGCTTGAGCTACGGGAAACTGCAATGTGCATTATGGATTATCTCCCGCACTAAACACTGGAATAGTCGTGTAGTTTGAGCCCTCATCAGTCCAACTCTGCACACTTCAGAGGGCTTTAATAAGAGCATGCACATTGTAGTATGGGGTGCACCTCTCAGTGATCACCCTCCTATATGTCCTGACTGATGCAGGCAGCATTATGGCTCAGACAGTTGCTGCTCTGCCCCACAGATCTACTTTCCCTTTCCCTATTTTGGGAAGAGGGTCTTGTTTAAGGGGGCTATTTGAGATCCGCGTAAACATGGACTCAGCAGACACACGGAGAGCCTCAGCTGTTGCTGATTAATCATCACAGGGCCGTTTCTCCCACTAAACCAATGTCAGAGCTACCTGAGGGGGGAATCCCTGCTGGAGCACCCATAGGCCCCAACTTATAGGGTGCGTGCAGGCCTGTACGTGCAATTTCTGAAATCCCTGGCTGACCTCAGGAGACACTTAAATCAGCTCCAAACGCTGACAGGGCCGCGCAGGAGATTAAAAAAAGAGAATGGAAAAAGAAAAAAGAAAAAGCTTCGCATGTAAAACTGGAGCTCCAGGTGTGCAGCCAATCAGGTGTCCGTTACCGGCGCTGACAGACGCCTGTTATTTTAATGGCACACCCATTAGACGGTATCACGAATCCGTTCAATGGATCAAATGTGCACGGTGATGGGGAGCAGATAAGGCAGGTTAGGAAGGAGCTCACATCACTTATGGGCTGCATTTGCATCCTTAAAATGCGCCTGTAATGATTCATATTTCAGCCGTGTGTGTGTGTGTGTGTGTGTGTGTGTGCCATCAGGACGCACCGGCTCTCTCTCACACTGATTATCTAACATCCGTGAGTTTGCATCATGCTGTGTTCAGTAGAACCTACCTGGATTTGTATTCCGAGGAGTTTTTTTTAATGTAGAGGCTGTGAAATAGCTCCTGTCCGCCCCCTTTATTATTATTATTGTTGTTTTTGCCGCGCCGACAGTCTCCAGATCAGCTCGCTGTGTGGATCTCTTCAGTCTAACGTGCTCCTCGGACTACAAAAAATAAGAAATTAAAAAAAAATAAATAAAAATCCTCCCAGTGGAAGAAGCTGTGTCGTCCTCATGCACGGAGAGGCAGGTCCCCCCCAGCAGCCCTGCTCGATATCGGCGATTGGATCGAACCGGCCAGAGGTGATTCGCCTTTCGTCCTCTCTGCTGCCTCGGCGCCCTCCTCCCCAGATCCTCCTCGTCTGACGGACTGACCGGGTCGCAGAGCTGTCAATGACGAGGGAGCAGGAGGAGGAGGAGGAGAGGGGTGTGGGGGGGGGGAGTGGGAGGTGGTGGGGTCAGGATTTTTAAAGGCTGCACCCTCGGTACGGATGGATCTCCGCGGCTCTCCCTCCTCCTGCAAGCCGTGAATCAGCGCTCTCCTCCTCCTCCTCTTCCTCTTCTCTCCGCTGCGCAGGAAAATCTCCGGCGCTCCGGTCGGCTGCAGGCTGCCGTAAAGCCTCCCCGCCTGCTGTCTCCTCTTCTGCTGCGATGAATACCGAGCGCTGTTCTCATCAGAAACGCGCTCAGCTGTCTGGCTCTTCGGGGTTTTGTTTGCTTTAACTTGCCACCGCTGTGTGCCGGACTTTGCGCACCATCGGAATGACCGCGGCTCGTATCCTGCGCGTCACTTTGTGGAGCTCGCAGCGGCAGCCGGAGCCGAGTTTCCTCCGTGGACTGTCATCCTCCGGTAATTAATATTAATATCGGGGCCTGCTCTCACGCCGTGGAGGTGTGAAATGGTTGCGCCCTACAGCCATCCGCCCCCCGATTCTAAAAGTCACACAGACGGACCGGGCGAAAGGCGCGCAGCTACGTCACCATCAGCTGAGAGCAGAAAGCTGCAACACAACCCGTGAATCTCGTCCAGAGCCACGGAGAGGGAGGAAGGAAAGATCAGAATTAAGGCTCCGCTCGTAGTTTTAGCTCCAAAAGGAGAAGCTGCACGTTTACTCTGCTGACCAGATGCCTCCAAAGCCAGTGACAGCAGGAGGATGAGCGCTCAGTGAATCACTGACATTTATTCTGGACACCTGCCACCAACACCAGACTCACGGAACGCATGAGGCTTCATACATGCACTGTAAAAAACCAATCAAATATCCGTAATCTTACAGACTTATTCCCCCCATATTCTCGAAACGCAATAAAATATGAATAAAATGACAAAAACAGACCAAATGTCTAATTCAAACTCCCCATCGAACTTTAAAAACACATCTAATTTTTTAAATAAAATTTTTTCACTTTAAATAAGTCCCCCAAGACCTAATAACATTTGAGTAATCTAATGTTCAGGTTCTCTTTTCAGACATGTCGAAATAGAGAATCTGAACATTAGATTATAACTAAGAAGACATGATGAACGTTTTCGAGCTAACATTTGAGTAATATTTCCATTTTATTTAACTTTAAAAATTAAGTTTAATATAAATATGTTTCTAAAATAAATGCTATTAGTGGCAATTGACAGAAAAAGGAGCATCAGTTATGTTTGCATAGATTTGTTTATTAAATGTGAGAAATCTTACATGATTCTAACAAAAATATTGACTGAATGTGTCTTCATCAGTGTATTATACTGTAATATCTATGAGAGTTTGGAATCTGTAGAATGCAATTATCATTTTATATATTTATAGAGAGAGAGATTATTTTTCCTTTAAATCTACATAAGACTGTCTTTTCACCAACAATTAATTAAATGACCTTATGTAAATTCAAGCTAAAATGTCTTTTAATCATGGAAAAATACTGTATTTTTATGAGATGGATATTTCACATTATTTTACAGGACTTTCTGGCATCCCAGCTGCAGAAATATTAAAAAAAAATTTTTTTTTTAATTCTATGTAGACAGTGTCCACAGATAAATAGTACAGAACACTAATCTCATGTCAGCTTTTTGGCCTCTTAATGAGCATTGTAGGTTGCCGTAGTTGCAAAAGCCAGTAGGCCATTTTAAAATTAAAGGTGCAACACATCAGCGCAGGTGTTTTCAGTTATTGTTGGTGGAGCAAACGTCTGCTAAAGGCTGAAGTTGAGTTTAGCTAAGCTGAGCATTTTATGATGTTCTAACTTTGTGTTACAGTTACTGTATTTTCAGTGTTTTAACAGAAGTATACAAGTTGTGGGAAACTTGGACTTTTCTGCAAGTATGTATGTATTCAACATGGTGCTTAATCATTCAATCATTGACCGTCTGCAAAAGTTGGAGGAAACCTGGGGGTCAGAAAAGTGAAGTAGAAGCAGAAGTGCTTTAAACCTGCAGACAACAACAACAGCCAGCAGGGGGCGACTCCTCTCATTGTCAAAAGAAGTCAGATTGTATAGAAGGCTATAAGAAAATGACTCAATTTCTCACTTGATTTGTTACCCCAACAACATTTTCCTCATAAGCATATGGTCTTAATCCCTAAACCTCCTTTAATCCAGCATGATTTTGCAAACTGTAGTCTGTTTAGAGTAAAATTAATGATCAAGTAGGGTATACTTAAACATGTGACTACCTTGTGATGGACAGGTTGCTGTTGAATTGGTACGAGCAGTGTCCTCTAGTTCTCAGCAAGCAGCAACCTTCAAGACTAACAATTAAAGCAAACACGGAAGTGCCAAAAACTTCAATGTCCACTTGAGGCTGATCAAAAAAACAAGTCAATCCACATCGATCCCATGTTAAAATGTCCAACTGTACAGGAGAAGAAAAAAAAAAAATGTAATACAAAAAACAGTTTTTGTCTCAATAGCCAATTTCCTGGTTCAAGACAACTCTACAGGGGGTTACATTTTTATATAATTAACCTGTTTAAAGGATATTAAGGCTAAATGTTATGCATAATTAAGGATGTGGTTAGTTTGACTGGCAAATTGTTACAACACAGGACAGGCCATGGTCCAGATATGTTTACATGGTCCGCTTTAGCTTCATTCCTGCTCCACCTCTTTGTTAATAAAAATTAATTTATAAATTAAGAAGCTGTCAGTGGTGGAGGCTCCACACTGAGCTCCAAAACCGCTGTTCACGAAACCTATGGATGCCGTCACAGATGGTTCCTCCATCTTTAAATACAGTAAATGGTTGTTCCGGCTGGTTAAAGCTTTTTCGAGCATCATCCCTGTTAGCACCACTGTTGCAAAGGTCAAACTGCTTTCCATTTTTCTAGCGACTAACTAGTAACTAGCATTAGCAACACAGCTACCGCTAAAAGCCTGGCTACTGTCCAAAGCAAGAAACAACATCAGCATCTGAACTTGACAGATTTCATTCTAGGTAAAGATGTAAAACAGCTGGTTGTGTTCAGTAGAAAGAATTTCATCAACACTTCAGTTCAAGAGCTCTCTCCATCAAGGGACTGACTAACCGAGGTTCGTTCAGGGTTTTTCTCTGACCACGGGGCTCTTTTTCTTTTGTCAGGTAGACTTTCCACACTTAACCTGGTTGCTTTTTTAACTGTAGCATTAATTTTATCAGGAGATTTTGTTCACAGACTTCAACTTCAAGGGAACCAATCTAAACGCCAGTGAGTCATTTATTCTATAGCCGTTCCACTGTGCAACGTTCACTTTGTAATAGTTTAACTCACTGCATTTAAACTGCAGGTGTAATTCTGCCATTTTCACCATGAGGATTGCTCCTTCCTTTCTGCTGTCTGCGTGGTACTGATTTCAACATCCTCCTAACCAATGTGAACCAACAACATCAACAACATCAACAACCTCCAAACCTACCACAGTGAAAATTTTTGGAAAAGATTTGAATCATGTCATTTTAAATAAAGTGTTTCCCTTTTCCAGTTCCCCCAGTAACTATTTTGTAGCGGCACCATCACTACATCCTGGGCTTAAGTCTACTCAGTACTACTGTGACTGGTTTAAAGAAATATGAATGATCCACAGCATTTTTTCCCCCATACCAATATAAAAAGGCAGGTCGGGCTACATGAGATTTAATAAAGCATTTGCCCATTGCCACTTTAAACCCACATTTTATGGATATAGTGTTTGTTATCAATAGACGTTATTGTTCCAACTCTGCAAATCAATCCCACATGAACAGTCGCAAGTCGTCAGCATACAAATCTTTTATCCCAAACCTGCAATGTAAAGACAGCACAAACTTTGCCTTTAAAAGGGGTACTGTCAATAACATGAGAGTGAGCGATGCGTCAGTCAAGCTGTTAATTAAGATGAATTCATTAAAACGGAGGGCTGACAGTGGAATGGGCACCTTGTTAGTAGTCGAGGGATTAAGGGCACAGATTGGAAATTTAGCTGTAATCCAGCATGTTTCACTTGTAGTTTTATATCGATGTTTGTTAAAGTAAATTATCTACAATAAATACATAAATTATAGTATGAAAATCAAGTACAATAACTGAAACATCCATGTCAGTGTACAAAAGGTGTGCAGGGAGTAATAAAATGATGTTCAACCAACTATAAGAAAACAAAAAAATGAAACACTATGACGACAAATGGCAGGTGGGTGATTATAATAGCAAATTTATGTGAATGTCACAAATTTTCTAGAATTTTGAGAAGCTCGGGCGCACATAAAGACGTATTCAACAACAAATTCAAGCTCAAAATGGACAGCAGTACCAATCTATATCATCCTGTGATCAAGGGCAGTTTACTAAACATATTCAAAAATAAAGTAAGAACCTGAACTCCGAGCTGTGGTGGTAAAATCGAACCAGCAACCCAGATTACAAGTAAATAAAACCCGATCAAGTCGTGCCAGATCCGAAGCACATCCCTAATGCACCACAGTTGCATTGCACAAGCCAGCGATCTTAAATCTCCAGTTAGATGCATAACTCGTCAGTATGAGCTTCACTGCGCTGCACGATCACCCTGCTGACGAGACAGACGAAGCCCCAGAGGCGGGAGGATGTTGACACTGCCACCACCTCTAATTACAGCATCATACAGGCCTCAAGCATTGTGAGGGTTGGGGGGGGGAGAAAAAAATTCTAAACTCCCACAACCAAACAGTATGTAAAATTAATAGCAGTATTTAAAAGTCTTTTAAAATAATTAGCAGTTAATCAATAATGAATACCTATTAATCCATCCAGAAATAACATGAAGAGACGTGGAGCGGTTGCCTCACTGCAGTATGCTGAGTCCCTTTCTTTTGGGACCGAGCCTATATGCAAAGCAGGAAAAAATCAATTGGATCCGAT